TTTGTTGTTGATTGGGAATTTGGGATACTTTGGCTCGGAAAGTGTACATCAGTGTTCAATTTTGCTGATTGTGCATCATTCCAGAGCACAGAGTAGCCAGTGTTTGAGCGTTAAAATGAACATTCATCAATAGAGATCTCCATTGGTACCTTCAAGTTGATTTGATTAGTATCCCATCCAGCTCCCTCCAACTTTTGAATGAAATCTTCAAACCTATCTTCCATCCGTGATAAACTTTCTGTAAGCTGATCAAAGAGATTATTATTGAAGATGTCCAAGTTCTCGGATAGCCAATAGGTCTGCCACACACTTCGCAGTACAGAAATGTTTGTAGCACCCACCTACAGTCAAGTTCTAGATCTAAGTTGAAGATGATAGTAATCTCATAAAATGTTCCCAAGTTCTCACATGAATACCTTGAACGAAACAAAGACCTCAAAATCTCTTTGCTGTTGGTTCACTGTAAGTACATATTTCTCTTTTGCATATATTCTCAAGAGAGTCTTTAGCTGTTTCAGGTAAAAGAAAAGAAAATGTTAAAAAAAATAAATAATGACTAATGAGACCAGTCAGATTGAGATTCTAATAAGTCAAGCAACCTATTTGACTTTAACATAAAACTGATATTGCTGGGTGTTACTAAAGCAATTTACATACCACTAGGGGGAAGGCAGAACATTGCATAGGTTAACCCAAATGAAAACACAATTTTCTCATATCAAATTCTGGAAGCAGACCATATTTCATTCATGATCATAAATAATAATAACCTCATAAATGGGGTTGGGTAATACCATGGAAAGAGATCTCCCACCACCAAACATCTCCTCTAAGGGCAAACCAAAGATAATTCGTGGCTTCATGAATCTCTGCCATGATAAAATATCTTCTTCCCTATTGCAATCATTGAGTCCTGAGAGAGCAAATAGTAAAAAGGAAAAGAATTAGGCCATCAATATAGAATAAATAAATCTAGTGAGCAATGTTTCAAGAGGAATATAATTTTTACCAGGAACAGTGGAGTGTAAAATGTGTGATTTTACAAGTATGCGAGCACGCTTAAGATTAATCTGGCAGAAATTGAATCAGGAAGATGACTATTAGTCTGCCATCAATGGAGTGTAAAATGTGTAATTTTACTAGTATATGAGCATGCTTAAGATTAATCTGGCAGAAATTGAATCAGGAAGATAACTATTAGTCTGGCCATCAAACATTAATATAGTTTTTCTACCCTAGTTGTACACTTTAGGCCTGTTTAACCTATTTAGAGTATAAAATAGGAAGTGACCATGGAAAATATTTACCGTGTTCAATTGTAGAACTAAAAGTGACTTGTATCGTAACCAAAGGTGGAGAAGTCGCATGCCTGTCCATGTTGATGCCAATACTGGATATGATTTTACAAGGCCAGGGGTATCCTGCATTATTATTCTAATGTTCAATTTAGCATGTCAAAGGAAGAACTTGGTCAATTGCTAGCATATTGACAGATTATAAGCTACACAACATACCAGGATCAATATGCCCAGAGCAAGACCAAGCAACTGAGCAGTTACTTCCCAAACTTCCTCCTGAAACATTTGGTACGGTATAATTATTCAGACAACCTTATAGAACAGCAAAAGTTATGCAAAAACTTTCAGGCCAGCTACAAGTCATATCAACATAATTTGCAGACTTTTTCTTTTCTTTTATTTGGACATGTTATGATAATTAAAAATTACTAATGTCAGAGAAGATAGGTTGCACAATTAGGTTAACTGATTAAACAAATCTCAAATGCACCTTAATGTGTATACAAAACGATACCTTAGCTGCTACCTCTCCCAGATTTCCTGAGAGTGCAAAATGGTTTTGAATCACCCGGAATGAAGGATCTTTTAGTCCTCTCGCTACAGCCTGTGGTTAATTTCAACCTTGAGTGTATTAGTGAAAACCTCAAACATTTCACGTAGTAGATGTTATGAATAGATTACTACTCAAACCCCTTAGGTCTTAGATGAAGACAGTGAAAATGAAAGCTTGCAGTAAGGGGATGAATACTTCCTTGAAAGCTTTTCCTTCACTTTCCCTACTCACTTATCTTTACAAATCAGATGTATGCAAATGATGCATTTTCTCAATGGTAGAACACTCCAACACTGGTCTAGGAGCTTTTGGAATGAAAGGAAAAGAGAGAGAGGAAGCGTTGCTCTCAGGACCCTCAAACCTCCTTGGCCTAACTTGTATCGACCATAATATGGAACTTGTGTTTATGTACACATCTGATGATGGTTTTGCGATGTGGAAGCAAAGCATAACACAGAAAATAAACATGCCGAAGGATCTGTTATGCAACTATGATAGAAGTTATGGAATAAAAACATGAGCAATGGCACAAAGGTTTTTCTTCGCATGGTACCTTTGCAAGATTCCCCAGGGATGCCAGTGGCAGGAAATAAGCAGGATAAAGTTGGGTAGTTAGATCAAAGATGCTGCACAAAAGATTAAAAAAGATAATGATCCCATAAAATCTAATTTATTTTTTATTTTGAAAACTCATTCAAAATATACAAACCTTCCAGCACTGCCTATGAAGTCAGCATACATGCGCCACTGTTTAGGATCATCATCAAAGAGATTCCCAAATCGTCCACCTGAAAGAATAGCAACAGTTACTGATACATTTCAGTGCATAATTTTTTCATCACTTTAGCTCTCTTTATTTTTGCCAGACCAATGAATAAGCGCCCAAGAGCTCCAATTCCATCTTTTGACACCCATCTGCAGAAAAAGTTAACGTAACCTACAGTTCAATCACATATAAGATTACTTTGATATAAAACAAAATGACGGTGTTTTGGGTAACTCCACATACATATAGAGCCACAAATAGAGACCAGTCTGCAGATGAAGCACTTTCCTTTCACCATCAATTACAAAAACAAAGTCTTTACACGCAAGACAGCATTAACATTTATAGTCATGCAAATTCACCTGATAGCAGCAGCAGAAGCAGCGGCACTAGTCCCAGAGAAAGACCCAATGCCAACAGCCTGCAATAAATAATTCACAGAAATTAGTGAAATGGTGCATGAGGAAAAAGTGCATTCTAAACTACAGAAGAACATAATATGCTCATGTAGAGAGTAAATAGCAGCTATTGATCATAGTGTGTATTCCATACTACAAAAAACCAGAATATGCTCATAGAGAAAGTTGATAGCAGCTACTGATCAGAGAGTTCATTGCAAATATTTAAACTGATGTTTATAGATCTAGCAACAAAAATTTAATCCAATAACAAACATCATATGCAGCTATAATTGCCAAAGAAGCATAATCGAAAGGTAACAGTAAAAGCTTAATGGGCAAAAATGAGACAGACAGTGGTCATCTATTATCATAGCTAAGCTAACAAAACCATTCTCAACAATTAAACATTATCACAAAAGAAATATAGGTCATCCAAAAATGACTCCCAGACTTTATGGGGGGTGTAACAGTTCTTTCCAATTCCTACTAAGATTTCTATTTAAAAAGAATGAAAGCAATGAAAAAAATCCTACGTGCACATACCCAAGGAAGACTAATGACCTGAGTTAGGATTGACATGCCTTTAGAAGACTTGATGTGACTAAAGTGTGACAGATCCAGGCAGTGACGTTTGTGGGGAACTGTAACAACATGTACTCTAAGTAATCATCTGAGACTGATCCTGCATTGGTCATGGACAAGGATAAGCAAGCAAATTTAGCTAGCAAATACACCAACTAGGCAGGACATGTACTCATGGTCGTTTAATTACACAGTCATTACAGAAAAATATGATATTTGCCATTATATTATAAAAATATGAGGTATTAATATTGTTCCTAGGATGTAATGACGACATTTGTATGGTCAACATTCACAAAGCCATGAAAGGAAAATACGTTTGAACAAATAGAGAAGAAAACTGAGAAGAAAGATAGAAAGGAAGGGGAGAACACAAAACAAAAACATAGTCACCTGGGAAGCCTGCAGGCAAAATAAAATCTTTAATGTTATCTGGTACCCAGGACAATTTTGTGTCAGGGATATGTGAGCCCTGGAACCTATTACTCACTGAACCATGTTCCTCGAGAAAAGTATGGAACCGCAAATCACCATCAATCATATATCTGATTACAGAGCAGATATAAAGAGAACAACTCAGAGCCTATCCCAGGGGTTGAAAAAAAAATTATGACTTTAAAGTTTAAACCACAGTTCATTGAAAACAGGTAAAGACTCATGAATTACCACATCAAAAATCCATCTCAAAGAGAAATACTCTTACTAGCCTCTAATGAATAGAGAGACAAGAAGACCTAAAATTGGAGATTAAGAACAAGAAAAGTTTAAGACCTTTTGGCAGTACCATTGCCATATCTTTCTACCAGAATCAGACGTGCTTCGCCATCAATTCTGTAACAAGAAACACCAAATATTTTCGAGATAAGCAACCAAACAAAACTGTGAAGGGATCTCGGACATTTGATATTGCTAAAAATATCAATTAGAGTAGAGGAAGTAGTAGAGATCAGTTTCATGAAACCAACGCAAAGCAAAAATTGAACTTATGTACAATAATTACCTCCCTTTGTCAGTATCTCGACTCTCTTCGTCACCTTCTTGGAGACTGGACTTGGCGGAAGAGCGGAGAATTTGAAAATGGCGTAGTCTGTTACCGGCACTCTTTGCCGGAGGCTGAGAAGGTCGTGTAAGGGAAAACAGTTGCAGAGAGGACGACATTCTAGGGTTAGCGTCTTCTTCTAAGAAAATGGAACTGAATATGTCACTGCCTTCATCCCATAGCTGAAGAACAACAGAGGAGCTGAAGAAAGAACAAGAAGTGCCAGTCTTTCTATCTTCATTTGCTTTCAACCATCCAAAGTACAGTTCCTTTGAACGGTTGCCATCCGGAGGAAAGAAGATGGATGGAACGAAACGACACCGTATTCTTATTCTAATTGTTTTAACCTACGTTATAATTCATTTAAAAAAAATAAAAAACTGTTTTTTAATCCAAACGATAAAACAATAACCATTAAACGAGAAATAAAATCCCCTGACACTGGACTCTTTTACGAATTAAAAATTTTTATTTTATAATTTAAAACAATTTAAACCATAAAACAATTGATTCTTCATTTTAGTAGTTCATATTTAATAGTCCAATATAATCAAATTACATAATATTTTACAATCTCATACTTCATATTTTAATAGTTCATATTTTGCCGTTTAATATAATCAAAATTACACAATATTTTTTTTCTTATTATTTTAGTTTTTCTGATACTTGATCCAGGAAAATGTGGATGGATTTTAAAATGGCAGAGATTTTCAACTTACATTAATGTATCCCTAAGTTCAACAAACAACTGGAAGCTCGGGATTTTTCTTGTGTATGTCAAATGTTTCCTAAGCAACATGCATTCCGTCCCTACAAATGCGAGGAACTTGAATTCTACATGGATGCAGCGCTTGTAACTAGAGCGCCATTTCTCTAATATCCCGTAGTAGCTAGATTCTCAAATGTGATTCCTGCAAATAACATGGCAGCTGTGGTGGAAAATGACTTCTAAGAGAATGTGGGTAGAAATAAATAGTTGGAATATAATGACTACAGGGATCATGATTGTTTAATGCTGGTGTCCTGTTTTTCTTCCTTGCGATTTTCCTCCACAATTTGCTGAAACTCTTTCTCACTTGCTGCAATTAGACGCTTGACAATGTCAAAGGTGGTAAGCCTAATGCTGCAGTTAAAAAGAGTAATGTCTCAGGTATAAATCTGGATAAGCATGATGAGGATAATGGATATGATTGTGCATAACAAACCCATAACAAAATTATGCATTCATGCTTGCTTAGCTTTCTCTATGGTTGCAGTTTTTTTGTTTGGGCATTCTCATTTACTACATGGATCAGTTACATTTTCCATTTTCAGTGGCTGAGAGACATGGATCAGTCACATAATGACTGTCCCATGAGTAATAAAATTATTGATATCATCTAAACCATAATTATGTGGGCAACATATATAACTTCTTACAAATGATAAGAAGACAATTTCAGAAATGCAGAATCAAATGCTGTCATATTTTCCCAGTTTCTGGCATGTCTATATCATGCAGTATTTCAGAATGGCTAAAATGGAGTAGGCTTAACAGAACCAAGTCACTGTGAATAGTCTTGCAAAAACTCATGCAAGGCAGTCTTTAATGTGACTAATGGAAATCAAAATCATGGAAAATAAGGGATGTGAATGTATGGGCACCTGCTATTTGGTAGGGTTTTCAGCGCATTGGGAACAAAACCTCTATACAAGCCAATAACTCCATCCCGCTCAATAATGCCTGCATCAATAAGAACAGATCACGTTTACCAAAAGTATAAGAACAAATCAGAGTCAGTAAATTTACCTTCGTGGTATCAAACCAGAATTTTTTCACAAACTATAAGATGGCACTCATGGTCAATCACTGTCTTTCTCAATAAAGCAATCTCTTTGTTCTCAAGAAGCTCAACAAGTTTCGATATTAGAGCATCATTTCCTTGCAATTTAATTAATGCTAGGATATCTATTTAAAAGAAATTTGGAAGCTTAATCCAGAACCAACAAGCTAAATCTACACGTCACCAACAAAACCTCAGCAGTACACTTAAATTATATGCCTAACCTGTGTGATAAGAAATTAAGAATTCCTCCATGTAATACTCTTTCTGTTTCATGATGAATGATATCCTCAAAATTTTCTATCATGAAACACATTGGAAAAAAATTGGACTTCATATCCAACTTATTAATCTTATTCTAAACTCTAAGTTAAACTTTAAAATTTTTTAACAAAATAATTAATTATTAAGTTTTTAAATTTTTTGAAGCATCATTCATTAAGGAAAGGAGGGAAACATAATGTTTGCAAGTTCTGCATTTTTTTTTATTGTTGTAAGAGAAATGTAGCCAGTAGAAATAAGATACCTGGAATGGCATCCAAAACTGACTTGTAAGGTGTACCCTTAAGCTGCATTTGTCTTCTAACAGTGTCTAAAGGATAGCAAGTTAGTGTGGCAATAGCAGCTGATGCCACAGCAGTTAAAAGAGATGCTTGGGTCTTCTCTCTGTATTTCTCTGGCAAAGCCTTCTTCACCCTGTTAAAAATGAAAAATGTATTTAAGATAGAAAAGGCCGTTTTTTTTTTTTTCCCTTTAACATATTGCTGAGGGCAGTACTAATGGACTCACAAATCAAAAATGCAAAAGTTCACAGCAATATATGGAGCTATTCCAAGAAGAGAAGGTCCAAGACCATAATAAAAGGCTGCAACTCCTTCCTCCCGTAACATGTTTAAGGCAACCTGGAAGACATAAGTTAATTAAGGTCCATCCACCTATAAAATAGTCATCTTTCAATTCTACCGGTCATGCAAGTAACACACCTCAGACATAGTTCGGTATCCAGGTTCAACCGCTAATCGCAATCTGAGTACATCCAAAGGATATGTTACCTACACAGAAACAAACAGCCAAAACAATTGAAGACTGATATCTATGTAGAGGCACACTAGCCATAAATGGAAGAAATAAAGGAAACAGAAGGGTGGAGAGAACAAAGAGAATATTTATCTCCCTATAATTCATAAGCCTCTTTCTTCTTCTTCCTTTGTAATTGCACAGTAATACAGCCAAAAAAACACAAGAAGCCAAACAGGTAGCATCCTGAAGATGCTAAAAACACACCAATCCCATTCCCTATAACTTACAAAAGTAGATGTCATGCCAGCACAAGCACCTGCTGCAAGTCTTCCAATTACAGATAGCTCAACATCCTTTCCTTTGAATAGTTTCTAGAGATTCAGAATCCAAACATTAATCCAATTGCCTTAGAACAATGTTGTCTCTAGGAAAATGCAATACTATGCTAAGATTTGCTCAGTTTCATTCTGCCATTACCTTGTAAGTTTCATAAGCAAAGAGCTGGACAGCACTATAAGGAAGGATTCTTATCACCTGAACCATTTACAACAGATACATGTTAAAGACAAACTTGATAGATCATCACAATCATGTAGGGGATCTATAATTTAAATTACTGCAATGAACCTGAGGGAGGTTGCCTTTCCAATACCCTTTAATTCCTTCTTCTTTCCCAATCAATAGTATAGCCTGAAGTTTGTTTTCAAATCCACAAAAACGTTAATAAAACAGCTAAATAGTTGCAGGTTTAATCCAGGAGAGCTGAAAACAAGACATGCAAACCACAACATACCTCAATGAAACCAATAGCCTTCTTCGCACTTTCTTGCCCAGCTCGCACCCCATGAGTCTGAAAAGTTATGAAAAGTTATTTTCAGCATTGAGAATGTTTCCAATCAACCTAGCACGTTACATAAAATTCTGGAAATAACTCAAAAGAGATGCAGAATCCTCTTTGTCTATAACAATACCATAAGACAACATATCATAGGCAGAAAGTCAACAAATTAAGCCAAGAAAAATCTCGCAGTACTGAAAATTTTCTCAGCAACCAAACAAAGCATTAACAAACATGAAAACGAAGCCGTATCTAGAAAATTCAAGCTACACACGCATGAAAAACGTGACAAAAGAATTAACTACACTCGGAACTGCAAATTTTGCAAAGAAACCAAACAGTCAAAAAGAGCACCTGCATAAGAAGCTTGATGCGATCAAGCGGAGCCGTTACGGTCTTCGCGGCGGCACCAGCTACGGCGCCAGCTAAGAAAATGGCGGCATCTCTGGGCACGTAATGAAGAGCTGCCAAAGGATGCTTCAACAGCTGAGCCGGAGAGGGGCCAAAATCCTTCTGGTCTGTCTTCTCCACAAGCGAAACGCACGCGAAATGAGCAGAACCACCACGGCGACTGAAACGACAATTAAGCCGCGCGTTTTTCCAGAGAGGCCCGTCGCGTGCGGTGGTTTCGAAGAGTCTGAGTCCCGGGATGGCTTTAACCTGCACAATGGCTCGCTCTTCTCCCATGGCGACGGAATTGAGCTGGAATTCTGAAATTGAGCAGAATTGACGGAGGAGATAAGGCAGGGAGCGGGGCGGTTGAAGAGAGAGGGAGCAAGAGAGCGGAGCAGAGAAAGGAATTTGGTTCCCTGTAGCCTTTTAAATGTCGGGCAAAACCATATGTTAAG